GTTTGTGTTTTTAAGAATGCAATTGAAGCAAATGTATCGGTAACACTACATGGTGAAACTCTGGGCCCGACAAGTGCGTTGGAAGCCGATTTAAGAAACGGGCTTATTTACTATCTTACTACCGATTATGCAATTATGAGATGGAGTATCGAGTGAGTATTGCAAGTCGCATAAATCATCAAAAACTGCACACAAATTATGGATTTTTTAAGCTCAAGTATCAATTGAGACATTTAAAACTTTAAAGAGCGACAGTTAATCGAAAGAGGCGTATTTTTATTTAAAAAAATGTCCTTTGGTATTGTTGGGCATGCGTGCATAGATAAGACAACAGTTTTTCCAAAATAAAATTATTTCTAAATTCTTCATTCAGTTTAAAAGATAAAAGTTCCCATGATTTTTTTCCTGCAGTCGATTACAGGATAAAATCTCAAGAGGTAACATACCTCTTGATCATTCAAATTGAACGGAAAATTTTAAAATTTTCTTAATTTAAAAAACTTTTGTTGTATAAGTTCGCACGAACGGTACCAGATATAGTTTAACCAAAAAATACAATTTATCCCCATGTACCTACAAAAGAATTACGCTCTTGAATATTCGCGTCATAAAAAAACACTCTGCATAAAAAGCTTAAAAGACCGTCGATATCCAATCATTTATTCCGATCAATTAAATGCAGATTTCAAGGTAAACGTTTTTTTCTCTGGCTGAATTAAGATGCATCATTATATTAAAGCATGATGCAGGAAAATGAATGACTCTTGAGCTGTTTAATTGAATTTAAATTTATATATTTTCTTGCAGTACATCCATCGCATCCGGATTATCATTGTCCCAAGTTCCCAAGCTCAAGCTATTTTGAAGTTGTGTTTGTTGTGCTTGATACTTTGGACAGTCTTTCTTGAGATGCGTAACATCGCCACACACCTTGCAAGCACCTAAACACACATAATATTGCATTAACGACCAATTTTTTTTGCAGTAAAAAAATTCCATACAAGTGTAGTGAGTAAAAAAATTAAATTGAGTGAATGAATAGCGGTTTTCTTACCCCCATTCGGATATAATCCCCTCTGGTTATCTGGACATTGTTTGGCAATATGGCCTTGTTCCTTGCAAATGAAACATGATGCAAACTTGAACTCCATGCCTCTTACTACCTTGCACTCGTAATGCGTGTGTTCGGTTGATCCACACTTAAAGCAAATGCCTGTTCCACTTGTATCAGCCATCTCACCCTTGTCCAGCTCAGGGCACTCGGACAGCAGATGTCCAGATTGGCGGCATTTGAAGCAAACCTACATAATAGTCATTGTATTTCTTTTTTATTGTACAAACTAATTCACTTACACTCTTTTTTGCTCTGGCAAACGACCTTTCTGCTCTGCGCCTTTCCAGTTTCAGAGCGATGTCGATTTCGCTTCTTGGTAAGCCTTTGCTAATCATTTCCTTTCTCAGTGTTTCCAAGCGCTGGGCGTCTTCTTTCTTCACGGGAAAGCCATCGACATGGTCAACTTCTATGGTCCTGCCATTCAGAAATAATGTTTCCGATTTTTGCTTCCTACTTGGATGGACTTTTTTATCCCTGGGTTTGGCTGGCTTTTTGTTAAGTTTTGCTTTTTTAGCGCTTTTGGGGTCTTCGTTCTTCACCGTATTATTCGCACTTGAGGAGTTCGTCTCATCATTTGGTGAAGTTTGATTTTCAGATTGTGCGTTGTTTTGTTGTTCAGAGTTACCTGACTGGTGAGCTAAAGCTTTCTGCTCTTTGAACTTTTGTCTCTTCTCAATTTGCCTGGCACGTCTCTGCTTCTTTTTTTCAATATTCTTCAAATCCTGCTCAGTAGGCGGTTTTTCAGCAGCAACTTCCTCCGTACTATTCAAATTTCTTGCTAAATTGCGTTTCTTTTTCTCTTTTTGCTTCTTTCTTCGCTCCAGTTTCTTCGCAGCTTTAGTTTCGTCTAAAACACCGTTTTCAGTTTGAGAGGATTGTGAGGTCTCATCAGGGTTTGGATTTCCGTTGCGTAATTGCGGCCTTTTCAATTTCTGTTTCTCCACTTGCTTCATTCTCCTATCCCGTTTTTTGCTGATTAATCTTTCGTCCTTTGTTTGCTCCTTCTTGCTTGATTGGCTGGTTTCGGATTCAGCTGCTGCCTGACTATCTTTTTCAACAACAATGTTTAGCTTATGTTTTGGCTTTTTGATCTTTTGTTTTTTCACAAGAATTTCTTCTGGTTTGTTCTTAATTCCCGCCTCTTCGGGTGGTTCGCTATCATCCCCACTGTCGGTTTTACTATGCATAAGGAGGGCTTTGTCAATCTGAGACTTTAGAGCGGAAAATTCGTCGTCTTCAGAGTCGTCAGGCTCTTCGGACTCACGCGAAAGCTGCTGTTTAACTTTTTTTGCCGCTGGCTTGCCATTGGCAAATCCCTTATTGTCTGCAGTAAACTTTCTTTTGCTTGACGGTTTAGCACTTGCTGCAGTTACAGGAAAATCAGCCCACTCAATTTTCTTATTTTCTTCTTCTTCAACATCATCCAGGAAGGCCTTGTAATTGTCTGCTCTTCTTTGAACAGCCGCTTCCCGGTTTTTCTGCTCAGCAAGTTCCTTATTCTTATTCAGCAACTCCTGCTTCATTTCACTCCAAGAGGTTGCTTCTTCAGGCAATTTTTCATTGGAGGCTTTTGAGCCTTTTGCTCTAGCAAACCTGGTCATGGTAGTTCAATTAAACTGCGTTTTATTTACTTTACTATTTATGTCTTTATATAAAGACAAATA